TAGTCATTGATGCTCTAGTCATTGATGCTCTTCATTGATGCTCTTCTCATTGATCTTACAATCAATTTTACTCCTAGTTTCTTTCAAATTTCAATTTCCAAATATCGTTTCGAGCATCAAATATTTCAAAAACCCGAAGAACTATTTTTTATTGAAATTAGTTTCGAATTAAGTATTTGGAACGAGTTAAAATAATCAAATTTGAATTAATTTTTATCTGAAAAAACCGTAAATAGAAAAATAGAAATTTTTCTTTTTAAAAACAATTTCTTCTCTCGAATTTCTGTAGAATTAAGTCAAAAATTGACTCAAAATTCGTTCTTCTTTGAAAAGTCAAATAGAAAACGTCAACCATTGTCTATTTTATGAGATCTCTAGTCGAATTAGTCGAGTAATTAGTCAACAATTCGAGAATTGCCCTGCTAATCTGTTCACCTCATAGATCTCTCAAATATTCATTTATATTTTGTGCCATTGTCTACCAAATTCCTTTGATATTTGGTAGATCGTTTTCCAGCTGAATTGCTTTTCTTTGCGTTTACTAATCCATCAAAAGATTGAAAAGTTCTGAAAATTTTTTTCTGAATTTCTGGGATTAAAGTCATAATCAAATGATGATTTGTAATATTTTTGATTAAAAATATTGTGGATCATCATTGGATTATGACTGAATTTTGAGAAACAATTGAATTCAATCTGCTGACGATATCGAGTACTACCGGGTTTATTAATCAGTACAAAATCAAACTAAACGATTTTTGCTATTTATATTCATTTCTTTTGAACTGGATCTAGGTCTAGAACCAGGCCAAAATATATTTGTCAGTTTAGATCTAGATTAGACTAGATCTAGATTAGACTAGATCTAGATCAGACTAGATCTAGATCAGACTAGATCTAGATCAGACTAGATCTAGATCAGACTAGATCTAGATCAGACTAGATCTAGATGGACTAGATCTAGATCAGACTAGATCTAGATCAGACTAGATCTAGATCAGACTGGGTCTAGATCGGACTAGATCTAGATGGACTAGATCTGAATTGACTAGATCTAGATTAGACTAGATCTGGAATCAGACTAGATCTAGATCGGACTAGTCTAGATCAGGCTAGATCTAGATTAGACTAGATCTAGATCAGACTAGATCTAGATCAGACTAAATCTAGATCAGACTAGATCTAGATCAGACTAGATCTGGAATCGAGATCGAGATCTAGATCAGACTGGATCTGAATCAGACTGAATCTAGATCAGAAGCCAGGCCAGGCTTCGCTACAGGCTTTGTCTTAGTCTTGTCCTTTTGGTCAGGGATAGATTTGTCAGCTCGAGCTCTAGCCAGGATTGATCTGGAAATCTGGATCTGGAAAAAGCAGTTTACAACAGAAACTTTGATATGTTCAAAAACTTTCACTGACTGATCTTTATGAATAAGTCAATTTTTGATCTTTAAGGCTTTAAGGCAGATCTTTAAGGCTTTAAGGCAGATCTTTAAGGCTCGAACTTAAGCATGATTTTGATTTTGGTTTTGGTTTGCTTTTGGTTTTGGTTTTGATTTTGGTTTTGGTTTTGGTTTTTGTTTGAGAAGCCCTTAATCATTGCTTATTGCTTTTAAACTTTAAAAAGTTGATTTTGATGATTTCCTTGTCTTTATTTATCGTGTTAACCAGCTGTGAATTCTTTAATAAAAAAGAAAGAATTTTCCCAGAACACTTTTCAGCTTTTTCTGGGGAAATCTGTCAATTTTCTACTTCCTATAGCTTTTTTTTTGTAAAAGTTTTTAGAAAAATCACTTTTAAAGCTTATTTGATCTTTTTAAGACATTAAGCTTTTAGATTTCTTTAGAAAACTTTTTATTTTATTTTATTTTATTTTATTTTATCTCAACTTTTATCAGATTTTATTAAGAAAATTCATAAAGTTTATTTTTATGATTTCTTTGTCTTTAATTATCGATTTAATCTTTTAAAATTTGAAATAAATAATACGTAAAATTGTGCAGCTTTTTGAAATCAATGGAAATCCTTTTATGCAAATTGCAGGATTATCTCTTTACTCTCAATTCATTCATCGAAAATTCCCCTTTCAAACGTTTTCCTGATTGGAAAAGATTTAGGATAACGATATTTATTGAATATTCTATTCTACAGCTATCCTACAGCTATTCTACAGCTATTCTACGGCTATTCTACAGCTATTCTACAGCTATTCTACAGCTATTCTACAGCTATTCTACAGCTATTTTACAGCTATTCTACAGCTATTTTACAGCTTTTTTTTCTTTGGCTTAATATGCTTGATTGGGTGGATTTGTGTACGATTGGAGCAAAGCTGCAGATTCTTATCTTGGCTTTATACTGTATTTATTCACTTCGAAAGTTCAGGGTGAGTGAAAGGCGTTTAAAAGGTTAAAGTTAAGCCAATTTACACAGTATAAAGCTAGCCAAGAAAGTCTTACAAGCTCTTTATCTTACAAGCTCTTTACCTTACAAGCTCTTTACCTTACACAAGCTCTTTATCTTACAAGTTCTTTACCTTACAAGCTCTTTACCTTACAAGCTCTTTATCTTACAAGCTCTTTACCTTACAAGCTCTTTATCTTACAAGTTCTTTACCTTACAAGCTCTTTACCTTACAAGCTCTTTATCTTACAAGTTCTTTACCTTACAAGTCTTGTTCATCACTTAAAAACCCTAAGCTCTAAGTTCATAGTGAAAATTGAGTCTTTGAAAGGCATTATGAATAATTTTTTTACTTCAAATCTCAACTCCACATTTTCAGGATCACAATCCGACTCTCACTCTAAACTATGCTCTTCTTTACTTGGATATTTCAATGATCATCTCACATCTTTTTCATGATACAATCATTCGCGTTGCTGAAAAGGATGTTTTCAGTAAGTTGAGTTGAATAAACATTAAGAAATAAGTTGAGTAATTAAAGAAAATGCTAAAATCTTGCTTTCTCTCATTTCAAACAAATTTCAGGTGATCTTGGATTCAAAATCATTCAAACGATTATGTTCTGTCGTTACTTCGGTCAAACATATTTTCTCATTCTTCTCTCTTTGTTCCTGATCTTGGCTTGTTATTGGCCGAACACTTACAGAACGATGAAGCAACCGCACACCATTGGAGTCATGCTGATACCAGCTTTAATCACAATAGGTAGGAAATGATTTGAGTCGATTATTTTGTAACTATTCTAGACTCTAGTGTACTTCTAGTGCACTGGAGTTGACGAAAAACGGACGAATGTAAGCCAAAAACGTTAAAACTCTTCTAAAACTTCTTTATTTGTTAATGTTTCTTTCAGAAAGAGGTATTGAAGAAATGAGTGTATTAGAAAGAGCTTAAAAACTCTATTTTGTTATTATGTTTCTAGATTTTAAGCACAAAGTACACTAAATCAAATGAATAATTAAAATCAAAGAGTTGTTGCGGAGAAAACCACGAAAAACCTTGGATTGTCAACGGCAAAAGTTAAGCCTCGCCCATAATGTGCGGGGTTTAGGTTTTTAGCCAAAAACTTTGCGTGGATATTATATTTTGAGTTGTTTTTTGGTGTCATTTGACGCGCAATTTCATTCTGCATCAAATCAATAGCTAAAATCAAAGGGTTGTTGATGAGAAAACCAAACGAAAAACCTTGAATTGTCAACGGCAAAAGTTAAGCTAGGTTTTTAGCCCAAAAACTTTGCGTGGACATTATATTTTGAGTTGTTCTTGGTGTCATTTGACGTGCAATTTCATTCTGCATCAAATCAATAGTTAAAATCAAAGGGTTGGTGCTGAGAAAACCATGAAAAATCTTGGATTACCAACGGCAAAAGTTAAGCTAGGTTTTTAGCCCAAAAACTTTGCGTGGATCTTATATTTTGAGTTGTTTTTGGTGTCATTTGAAGCGCAAATTCATTCTGCATCAAATCAATAGTTAAAATCAAAGGGTTCGTACTGAGTACAGGGCACAAAAATAAACTAAATCATTAAAACATAACTCAAAAGATTCTCGAGTTTTATCTCTTAAATGAAAAATTCTAGTACACGTCACACTTTTCGTATGGGAATGTGATTGCATGATCTTTCGTGTCCCTGAATATGTTTGGGATTCGAATCTATCGTTGGATTCACCAAAAATGATTTACTATCTCTATTCAGAGGGATTGAAAGTGAGTTGAAAGTGAAATTTCAGAGATTTCAGAGATTTTTCACTCTTTAACTGTAAAAAAACACTTTCTGATGCACCGAATTCTCTAGTATTTTCTCGAAATGAAAACTTCAGTGCATTGGGAAGAGAGTGTTTATGTGTTTAGAGCACAAAGGATACGAGTAGGATTGCTCTAGAAGTATCTAGAAGTATCTAGAAGTATCTAGAAGTATCTAGAAGTATCTAGTATCCAGAACTTCTTTAGGTTCTCTGTTTGGCACTTCTTGTGGTCACTGATGTGGCTTTACTAATCAAATTGTATCGTCATGGTCTTTATAGAGGGCCAAAGTATCTCCGAACTCAAACAACTGATCAACAAAGTAAGCTTAAAGCTTTAAGCCAACAAATTTTTACAATAAACGATAATTCTTCTCGTCGATAATTTGTAAACGGTAGCTAAACATTTACTTTATAAAATCCTAATTGAATAATTGAACCGGTTGATAACACAGAAAGCAACTATTTTAAGCATTTTAGTTTTAGTCACCTCGAATCTTGGCAATTCGAACAATGGTTTCAGCATGATGAGCAATGGAATAACCTCGGAGATTGTAAGGGTATGTTTGAAAAGTTAAATGGAGTGTTTGAGAAGTTAAATGGAGTGTTTGAAAAGTTAAATGGAGTGTTTGAAAAGTTAAATGGAGATTTCATTTTCAAATTGTTTAACTAGAGTGGGTAAACAAATCAATCAAAGTCTTAAAATTTACATTTAAAAACTTTATTTGAAAGCAATCAAATGAACCAATTTTGTTTAGTTGAAAGCAATTATTCAACCAACCAAATGAACCAATTAACCAGATAAAACGTTAATCAAAAGACCGATAGATTTGTAGGCAAATTACTGAAGATCTTAAGATATAAATAGTTATAAGTTTGAATAGATTTGTAGGCAAATCACTGAAGATCTTAGGATATAGGTAGGTAGAAGTTATAATAGATTTCTAGACAAATTACTGAAGATCTTTACCTATAAACAATAGACAACAACAAAAAACAAACAACAACAATGTTATAATAGATTTCTAGAGAAATCACTAAAGATCTTTAGCTATAAATTGTATTTATAAATTACTGCTTCTAAAATTGAGAAATTTTTCTTTTCAGAGAAGACCGCGACTCCGAATCGACGCTAGATTAGCGCTTGGATTCACCTACTTGTGCACGGCTTTCGTTTGCAGCTCTGTGCACTATAAATTGAAAAATGAGTAAGTCTAGCTTGCTATTAGTTCTTTAACTTGCTATCTTAGAAGTCTAGGAGTCTAGAAGTTCTTAGAGAAGTCTAGGAGTGGGTTAGAGAAATCGAGAAAAAAAGTTATACTTCTCTGGAGCTGATTGGCTTGGCTAAGGGAATTGGCTTCAAGCCTAAATATTGTAAAGTTATTGCATTATCTTTACTACGTAAATCAAAGCTGCTGCTGAACAAAAATATCATAAGCATTTCGATTTTAGTATGGATCCAATGTTGCACAAAATCTTTTACCATCTCGTCGGAATTCTTGAGCTTTCCAAGTGCTCAATGTACATTTTAATCGTCACAAATCGATAAATTTTTGATTCTCAACATGATTGATCTCACATTTTTGCAAATAAACTATTTATTTGAATTCTAGAAAGAAATTTGCACGGAAAGCTTAAAAACTTGGTTTCAAATTTTTTTTAAAATTAAAAATTCAAAGTGATTCAAACAAAAAGCTTCAAAAAATTTTGATTTCAAGCTTTCAAAGAAAAAAGTTTTCATAGAAGGGAATCGTATGCGTAGATTCCGAATTTCGACAAATCAGATTTCGCTGACACGTCAAATTTGGACTAAAAGGCAAAAACTACGCAACTTAACGCTTTTCCGCAGCTTTTGCCCTTTAGCCCAAATTTGACGTGTCAGCGAGGTCTGATTTGTCGAAATTCGGAATCTACGCATACGATTCCCTTATATGGAAGTATTTTCGAAATATTTTCGAAGCTCTACGGCCTTGCCTAAGGCCTTTTCCAGCAAAAAAAAGGTGCGCAAATGTCCAGGTGCGCAAAAAAAAGGTCGCATTTGTCCCACCCCCCAAAAAATGACGCAAAAATGACGAGCCCCGCATTATATACGACACTTTTTAAAGATACTCAGCCGTTTAACTGATTTCGTGGGAAATTCCCTTCCAATGTAAAAAATGAAATTTTTCGAAAAACCTGCGCAAAAAATTGTTTTTATATCTTTTTCGCGCAGGCGCACTTTTTAGAAAACGCATTACTCGACAATTACCCATGCAAATTTACTCGAGTAATTACTTACTCGCGTGGAACACACTCTAGTTGTACCCGTTTATGAATTACAGCCGATTATGAATTGAGTGAGTCTAGGGGCGTTCAACCATCAAGTATTTGGTATCATTCAACGCAGAATCATTGATAATTATGTTCAATTTTTTTAATTAGAAAGATTGGATAAAAAGAAACAAATTACGGGGCTTCAAAGTTTTCTCTCGAAAAAAACATTTTTTTGCTCTAATTTTTTTTTCTTTTCATCAAATCTTGCTAATTTAAAAAATTTAATACAATTATCAATGATTCTGTGTTGAATGATACCAAATACTTAATGGTTTGACGCCCCTAGACCCAGTCATTCATAATTGGCTACAGGGATCCTGCTAATTTTGAATGAAACGTTGTAGCGCCGGCAATTTTTACCCTAAACTCACAAATTTGATACGAATCCATCCATCCGTCCATCCGTCCATCCGTCCATCCGTCCATCCGTCCATCCGTCCATCCGTCCATCCGTACATCCGTACATCCGTCCTTCCGTACATCCGTACATCCGTCCATCCGTCCATCCGTCCATCCGTCCATCCGTCCATCCGTCCTTCCGTACATCCGTCCTTCCGTACATCCGTCCTTCCGTACATCCGTCCTTCCGTACATCCGTCCGTCTGTGCGCAGCCATTGGCAAAAAGAGTCGGGGCTTAGATTGCGTGGAAAAGGTGAGAAAGAGAGAGAGTACACCCATAGTAGTACTTTTAGGTCACTTTGAAAGTACTTAAGGAGGATACTATAGTACTCATGGGGTAGGCTAGTTTCCACCATTTTATTTGCGCAACTGGGTCGCAAATCGCCATAACTTTCTTCTAAGTGGGCTAATCTTTTTTTGATTTTGGTGTCATTTTGTAGATCTCAATAAGTGCAACAAAATGACACTAAAATCAAAAAAGATTAGCCCACTTAGAAGAAAGTTATGGCAAGTTGCGGAAATTAGGGTCACGAAAAACCTCATCTTCACTCATAAAGAAACCCTATGAAATAGCAAATTAGCATACGATATCGCGACGGGAAAACGTTGCAAAATCTTTTTTTCATTATTCTCTTTATTGAGAATCTTTTGAACTTTTTCATTTCATCGGTTTTTTTTTCAAAATCAATAGGTGCGTTTCATTTTTTTTCAATCTTAATAAGTTATTTTATTGAAAGTATTGCTTTTAAAGCTAAAAATGACTTGTTTTATATGAAACTGGCTAAATTTTATGATGATTTCAAAGTTAAACGACTAGTGATGTACTTTTTGAAGTGTTTCTTGCCAAAATTTCTCGTTAACCTTATGGAGAGCTAGATTTATTGAAGCTTTCAATCAGTAAAACAGTGAAATTTATGTGAAAAAGTGCTTTTTAATGATAAAATAAAAATCTTGATCACTTTTTTTGAGTTTATGGTTTATAATTTTAAATTTTAGATCAAGTTCTTCTCGTGTATGATGTTGAAGATGTTGGTGATGTTGACGGTGCTCGCCTTGTTCGCTTTTTTCGCTTTGTTCATTGATTTCGGAAGAGCAAAGAATACACGTTCAACTGAAGCGGATCGGAAACTTCAAATCGATCTTCTCAACGATAAGGCCGTCTTTCCGAGAGCCGATTTATTGAATCAGCGATATGGTGGGCATTTTGTTCTACAGAATTATTATAAACGATTGAATTAATAATAGTTGTTGCTGGAATTCGAACAAATCTCTTCAAATTCAATGACCAAAGAGTTTAACGCGTTGCAAACCTGAAACAAAAGTGTTGAAGCGTTTAATCTGTCCGTTATCACTTATTTAGCTTGCACGTTCTTATTGAATTTGTAAAAATAATGGGATTTTCAATTTGTACTGAATTTTAGCTTAAGATCTTTCGTAAATTCTTTTAGAAACCTAAAACAAAAATGTTGAAGCGTTTAATCTGTCCGTTATCACTTATTTAACTTGCACGTTCTTATTGAATTTGTAAAACTAATGGGATTTTCAATTTGTACTGAAGCTTAGATTAAAATCTTTCGTAAACTTCGTAATCTTTTAGTTATCCTGATCAAGCCGATGGTTGTGAAGCACGTTTTGACGATGCCGGCTTTCGTAGATTTTCTTCTTTATTACTCCGAGAAGCTCAACAAGGAGTTTGTGAGTGTTTTAAGCTTTTAAAAGTCATTTTAGT